TTGGTCAGGATCCTGAAATCTACCATCTCATGATCACTGCTTCCCAGGTTGTCCCCCGCCTCTACGTCCCCTATTAGTTCCTCCCTGTTTGTGAGGAGAAGGTCAAGCTGTGCACGGCCCCTGGTCGGATCCTTCAGCACTTGTACCAAGAAGTTATCCCCAACATTCTCCAAAAACTTCCTGGATTGTCTGTGTACTGCCGTATTGGTTTCCCAACAGATGTCAGGGTGATTAAAGTCCCCCATGAGAACCAGGGCCTGCGATCTGGACATCTATGGATTTGCAGAGCTTCAATAATAACAATTAGCACTTTTCATGCACAGATTCCTTTCCAGTGGATGGGGTTTTGTTATCCCTAACGTGCAGGAACAGTGGGGCACAGAGAACTTTGAACCAACATTTTCCAAAGTGGCCTCTGATTTCAGAAGCTTTTTTGTTGGTTCCCTCTTAAGGTACCACTGGCCTAATTTTCTGAAAAGTGCAAGTACCTAAAACTTCAGCGGAAAGTGGGAATACAGCATCTCTGAAACACCAGCCTCCAGAAAGTGAGACATTAAAAGTGAGTGTAGACTTTGAGGACAGTGACTTGCTAAGATCACAGTGAGAAGTGAGAATGGAATCAGTCTCCTTACACCTAGTCATCAGTGCCCTCTATTTTCCTTAGATCAGGAGTTTTCAACCTTTTCATTTGCGGGCCCCTAAAAACTTTCAAATAGTGGCATAAATTTCTTTGGAAATCTCAGAGTCATAGAGTTAGGAGGATCCACAAGGGTCATGTAGTATAACCCCTGCTAAGATGCAAGATTTCTTGCATCTAAACCATCCAAGATGATGCCGACATAGTCTGCAGATGCCCCCAGTGGTCTGTGGACAACAGGTTAAAAATCACTTGTCTAGAGGTTCCCAAAGGTAGCCTCATATTAACTCCTGAGAACCTGAACATGAAAACTGACCACAAACCCAAGTGAAAATGACTAATCTGTGTTCATTGTCCAGGCCAAGAGAAAAGGAAACACACAGCAAGCTGTGCAAAGTAAATTGTTTAATTTCCAGATTTAATATGCTGACCTGTTAATACAATAATTGTATTTTCATTATAATGTTTAATTCAAAAGGCATTTGTGAAAAAAGGCAATTAAACCAATTAATAACTTATTAAAGTTGCTTCTTTCCTCCTGAAGGACCCCAGCCCTACAAACATCATCGGCTACTGCAGTTCACTCACACAGTACAGCAGTTTAAGACAGGAAGTGAAGAAAGGAGCAGCTATAGACCTCAAATTATTATGCACATGCTTAATTTCAAACACAGATTGTTCCACTGAAGTTAACTTACTCAAATGCGTGTATACATATTTGCTGGATCAGGACCAGAGCCCTACTGATATGATGAATTCTTCAGCTGCTTAAAATGAGGGGAAACAATTCACTTAGGGTATGTCTACACTACCCCGCTAGTTCGAACTAGGAGGGTAATGTAGGCATACCGCACTTGCAAATGAAGCCCGGGATTTGAATTTCCTGGGCTTCATTTGCATAAGCGGGGAGCCGCCATTTTTAAAACCCCGCTGGTTCGAACCCCGTGCAGCGCGGCTACACGGGGCTCGAACTAGGTAGTTCGAACTAGGAGGGTAGTGTAGACATACTCTTACACATTAGGATCTGGATTCTGGTCTCAGGAGCCCCGATTTTACACTGAGGAAATTGACTGCAGTGGAATTACTCCAGATTCCCACCAGCGTAACAGGGTTCCAACTCTAGCTCTGTATAATACAGTAACATATTGCAATCCATGTGGCATGCTCTGATACGAGCAGTATGTCAAGGGGATGGTTTAATAGTCTCACGCTCAAGAGAGAAATACCAGACCTACCTGCAACCATAGCTTCAAATTTCCCCTACTTTGACTCAGCCCCTGATACCTCCCAAGGCAGTGACATCCATTTCTATACAATTTACTGTATGGCTGCGTCTAGACTGGCAAGTTTTTTCGCAAAAGCTTCTTACTCCTTGGCTGCGTCTACACTGGCCGCTTGAATTTCCACAAGAACACTGACGATCGCATGTAAGATTGTCAGTGTTCTTGCGGAAATGCTATGCTGCTCCTGTTTGGGCAAAAGCCCTCTTGTGCAAATGCTTTTGTGCAAGAGGGCCAGTGTAGACAACGCAGTATTGTTTTGCGCAAAAAAGCCCCGATCGTGAAAATGGCTATCGGGGCTTTCTTGCACAAAACTGCGTCTAAATTGGCACGGACGCTTTTCCGCAAAAACCGCTTTTGCAGAAAAGCGTCCCTGCCAATCTAGACGCTCTGTTCCAAAAATGCTTTTAACGGAAAAACATTTCCATTAAAAGCATTTGCGGAAAATCGTGCCAGTCTAGACGTAGCCTTTATGCTTGTGTCTTTCAAAGACCTTAAAAATTAGATCTTACTTGCTCTTGTTGGGCATTGGAGATCCCCTGGCACTATTTGCAAAATGAACAGGTTTGTCTAATGTCCTTGGCTAAAATCATATCTCAGATTCATTGTGTTGTGCGCGGGTGGACTGCTACCCTTCCCCCACTGCCCCAGGTGATGGTCGTTGCATCTGAAGCTTTTCTGGGACAGGCAGAGTCTTGGGGTGACTTTGGGGAGCCCCAAGAGACGCCCTCTTGCCTGCTGATGCAAACCTAGCAAGTTTAGGTGGAGAGGAGGAAGCTGTGCAGTGTGAGATTCAGGACTTTGGGGAAGGAAGTAAAGTGCGGGAGGAGTGCTGGAGTTTTCACTGAACTGAACAGACCAAAGATCCATAGAGTTAAAGGCGCAAAGGAACCATTAGTTCTCTGAATCTCCTGTACGTCACAGGCTATGTAATTTACCCAGTTACCCCTACATTATACCTAATCGCGTGTATTAACCTAAAGCATCTCTTCCAGAGAGGCATCCAATCAAGGCTTCTTTGACTCAAAGGCAGTAAGCTCCCACCCCTGTGGTTCATAAAGAACCGGTCAGATGCCTGGATTCTTCTACCCTTGTCTTGCAATGTCCAGACTTCTTTAGCCACTCAAATAGCATGCACATCAGGACCTCTGCCAGGGATCTATTTCAGAACGGGGAGGGTGGGTGGGGCTCTGTGGCCTGCAATGTGCACATCAGATGAGAGGATCATCCCTATGGCATTCCATCCCTATGGCGCTTGCTGCTGAGGCTGCCCATGTGGGTGCCACTATATACCAGCAGTAATAGTAACACTGGGATGAAGGCTTCCTGTCTGCTGAACTGAGATCCTTCTGACCTTAAAGTCTGTGAGTAGATAACTATCCAGCCTCATCTTAGAAATCAAAGACTCCAATCCTGGAGGCATAAGGCTTGGGCTCAGTGGGTCTGTCGATGCAGGCAGGAATAAGTGTATGTGTAACGCTTGGGAGGTTGGGGCCATAGATAGGCAGAGTGTAGTTACCTAGATTGGCATTTGTCTGGATACTCAAGCTAATGTCCCTGCTATATTCACACCCCTTCAAGATGCACTAAAAGGCCATAGATATTACTAAAGTTCCAAATTCTCTTTTTCAGATTGTAGGAGTAAAACACTAGATTTCCACAAAAAAGTGAGTTCTTGACAGCAGGCACAAGCGTGGAGGTATGAAAATAGCTGATTATATAAGTGTGTCCCCAGGAATGATGATGCTAGACAGTGCAACAGACAAAACAGGAGACGGGTGTTAGCAGAAGCAGAGCCACATCAGAGGTGTGCGACTAAGCTCAGCTCTGAGGTGAATGGGGGTCACTCTTCTGAAGGCAGTGAAGTCGTACTCAGCAGGGCCCCAGCTGAATCTGGTCCATGGTGCTGAGTTTGCTGTTATTTCCTTCATCATGTGATTTCACCTGGAGGCAGCATCTCTGAAGAGGTTCCGCCATGCCTGGCACATACCTTTCTGGAAAATCATGTACTTCCTAAAGCGACCCTCGGGCTTGTGTTACCCACTGCCATCTCGGTGCCTGTGCTCCTGAAGCAGCCCAGCCTAGAGAGCTGCAACCTCGTGCCCAGGCAGTACAAGTCTCCTCAGCGTAGACTCACCAACATGCCTCAGCACTAATTAAGAACTTCCACCTCAGGCTGGCAAGGTAATTCAGCCAGCCAAGGGACATGGCGGTAGTGCGGAGTAGTGGGGAGGGCACTACCTGGGTGCCTTGACTCCTGGATTCTAACCCCAGCTCTGCTGCTGGCCTCTGGCAAGTCACTTGCCCTCTCTGTTTTCCATCCTACACTGGGCGCATCTTGCCTGTGCGGACAGTGAGCTCATCAGGGCAAGGACTGGTGTCTCAGGGTCAGGGGCCCCGTCCTCGGCTGGGACCTCCAGATCCTATTGTGAGTCAGACAACCATGCCAATTCCATCCTTTGGCCTTTCTGCTGACGTGTTTCCAGAGCATCCATCCCTATGGCGCTTGCTGCTGAGGCTGCCCACGCGGGTGCCACTATATACCAACAGTAATAGCACTGGGATGAAGGCTAAACTGAGATCCACCCACCTTTTCACACTGACCACTGAAAGCTCATCAGATGGCAACTTTCAGCCATGGCTGGCTTCATACCCCTTTCCCAAACACCTTGAGCTACAGAGCCTGATTTATTCTTAAAGAAAGCAAAAAACTGTGGAGTCCTCTTTTTGTCCAGTCCTAGACCTCCTGTTTTATTTACATCTCACAGACAATGTCACAAGATGATCTAAATCCTGGCAGATTACAAAGGCATGAAATCCAACCCACCGCCAGACTAACATCAAGGGAATGAGTGCTTTAGCACAACACGGCTGACCTCCTCTGAACTGGAACTGGAGGCTGAGCTGGGAAGGGCTGACTCCTTACCAATCTCCGAAGCCAGCTTCATTCCTGAAAAGGCTTTGCAGTATGTGACAGTGCACTGTCCCCATTCAGGAGCCTTTGATTGCTGGGGCAACATTAGATGTGGTAGCGTTAATGAAAGTTTCAGAGCTGAGGAGCATATGGCATTGCTTTGTAGCAATCAGCCTTCACCGTAGTTTTCAAAGTAGCCGCACATCAGTTCTCGCACTTCCTCCGCACTGCTGTCGTCCATGGACATGGGCACAGGGTGGCAGGGCTTTGGAAACTCGGAGGGCTCTATAACTTCCAGCCACTCATCATTGAAGGGACTGTTGTGCGCCTCACACACGTTGTGCAGGATGCAACAGGCAAGTATGACCGTGGGCAGCAGGTCCAGGCTGCAGTCATCGCATTTCAGGAGGAACTGCCAGCGGGCTTTAAGGCGCAGGAAGGCATTCTCAATCACGCTGTGGGCCCGCTTCAGGCGATAGTTGAATTGAAGCTGCTGTGGAGTGAGGGTGCCGTCTTCCGGGTAAGGCTTAAGGATCCAGTCCCGTAATGGGTAAGAGGCGTCTCCCAAAAGGACGTACTTTTGTGTCCTCCCCATGAAATGTTTCGGGGGAGTTGGGAAGAGGCAGCCCTCCCTAGCTAACACCCACAAACTGGAGTTCTCCAGGACGGTGCTGTTCTCCATACTGCCAGGGAAACCAGCGCAGATGTCCCAGAACTGACCCAGCCCATCCACCGTCGCCTGTGTGAGGACCGAATGCCTACCCTGGCTGTTGCAGTAGTTGGTGCTGAGGTGTGCAGGGGCATGGATAGAGACATGGAGGCTGTCCAAGGCACCAATGCAGTGTGGGAATCCCCAGCGGGTACTGAAGATCCGCACCATGTTCTCCAGCTCCTTTTCACTGGGCAGCCGGAGGTAGAGTGGCTTCAGCAGCAGCACAACAGCATGACTGACCTCCTTGACACAGTTCTGCACTGTGGAGGGGCCCACCCCAAAGAGGGGGCTGATTGTCTGGTACTCTGCATTGGTAGCCAGGTGCCAAAGGGCCACAGCTACACGCTGCTCCAGAGGCAGCACTGGGTGGGGCTGGCCACTCTGGTAGGACAGCTTGGGTCGCAGCAGGTTGCAGACATAAAAGAAGGTCTCCTTGGACATTCGGAATTTCTCCAGCCAGTCCCGTGGCTGAAAGTCTTTCAGGACTACCCGTTCCCACCAGTCAGCATTCCGGAAGCTGGGCCACGCCCGGGGGTGGAAGTAACAGCTGGATCTCCTCCGGCGGGCAATCAGCAGCTGAAATTTGACAATCGCAGGTATGAAGCAGGAGATGTGCATGTTGGACTATGACAATGCTTAGCATTTCTACAGCATTGCATCTACAGACACCCAGCCTGCTACCCTGTTAGTCACTGAATTGGCTTTGGAGCTCAGTCATCCCTGGCACTTGCTGGCAATATACTGTATTGGCATGTCTACATGAATGCCAAGCTAATACTAAATGGGATGAGTATGTGGCTTAGTAGGTAGAGCACTGCCCTGGGACTCTGGATATCTCATTTCTATTCCTAGGTCTACCACTGACCTGCTGGGTGACTTTGAGCAACTCATTTTCCCCATCTCACCTCAGTTTCCCTACCTGTAAAATGAGAACAATGATATTGACCTTCTTCGTAAAGCACTTTAAAATCTATGGGCAAGAATCACTCTATAAGAGCCAGGTATTATTATCTGTACCAGCTTGCTACCAATGTGTGTCAAAAGCCTGTGAGATGTTAAAGCAAAATGCAGGACAATGTAGCACTTTAAAGACTAACAAGATGGTTTAATAGATGATGAGCTTTCGTGGGCCAGACCCACTTCCTCAGATCAAATAGTGGAAGAAAATAGTCACAACCATATATACCAAAGGATACAATTAAAAAAATGAACAAATATGAAAAGGACAAATCACATTGCAGAACAGGAGGGGGATGCGGGGGGAAGGGGGGGAGGAAGGAAGGTAAGTGTCTGTGAATTGATGATATTAGAGGTAGGGAGAGTGGGATGTTTGTGAGTTAATGGTATTAGAGGTGATAATTGGGGAAACTATCTTGGTAATGGGTGAGATAGTTCAAGTGTTTGTTGAGTCCTTTTTGGAAAGTGTCGAATTTTAACATGAATGACAGTTCAGAGGATTCCCTTTCAACACATCCTATGCCTCTTTCTATGCAACTCCCTTAGCCCGGGCCCCCAAAGAGCCACTTCTGGGAGGCACCACAGTCGCTGCTCACCAGCACACAGCAATAATGCACACCAGTGAGGCCAGGCTGTGAAACACACCACTGCAGCCAACTCTGGGTGACACTCAGAATTTCTCTTCTGCAGAAAATTCAGACAAATTGGAAATGTTTTGTTCCGAATGGGGACAAAAAGTCTAAGTGTTCCACAGAATGAACTCTCAGGGGAAAATCCCATTTTGGGTCAATTGCAATGTTTCAATTTTTCCACATTTTTTACATTTTATTTTTGTTTTAACATAAGAACGGCCGTACTGGGTCAGACCAAAGGTCCATCTAGCCCAGTATCCTGTCTACCGACAGTGGCCAGCACCAGGTACCCCAGAGAGGGTTGACCGAAGACAATGATCAAGCGATTTGTCTCCTGCCATCCCTCTCCAGCCTCTGACAAACAGAGGCCAAGGACACCATTTTATCCCCTGGCTAATAGCCTTTTATGGACCTAACCTCCATGAATGTATCCAGCTTCTCTTTAAACTCTATTATAGTCCTAGCCTTCACCGCCTCCTCTGGCAAGGAGTTCCACAGGTTGACAACACGCTGTGTGAAGAAGAACTTCCTTTTATTAGTTTTAAACCTGCTACCCATTAATTTCATTTGGTGTCCTCTAGTTCTCCTATTATGGGAACTAATAAATAACTTTTCTTTATCAGCCCTCTCCACACCACTCATGATTTTATAGACCTCTATCATATCCCCCCTCAGTCTCCTCTTTTCTAAACTGAAAAGTCCCAGTCTCTTTAGCCTCTCCTCATATGGGACCCGTTCCAAACCCCTAATCATTTTAGTTGCCCTTTTCTGAACCCTTTCCAAGGCCAAAATATCTTTTTTGAGGTGAGGAGACCACATCTGTACACAGTATTCAAGATGTGGGCGTACCATAGTTTTATACAGGGGCAGTAAGATGTTCTGGGTCTTATTTTCTATCCCTTTCCTAATAATTCCTAGCATCCTATTTGCCTTTTTGATCACCGCTGCACACTGCATGGAAGTTTTCAGAGAACTGTTCACGATAACTCCAAGATCTCTTTCCTGATTTGTCGTAGCCAAATTAGTCCCCATCATACTGTACGTATAGTTGGGGTTATTTTTCCCGATGTGCATTACTTTACACTTATCCACATTAAATTTCATTTGCCATTTTGTTGCCCAATCACTCAGTTTGATGAATTCGGAACATTTGGGCTTAATCATTATTTTTAAATTGGACGATAAACCAAAACAATAATTGGTGACTGGTACCCTAGCTGGGTTGGCATTAGAACTGGCCAATCCAATGGGTAGCTGGTTGGTAATTATAGGATGAAATAAGCCATGAAGCTACCAGATTGAAGGCAGTAAGAAGTATTCTTGGCCCCACGGTCATGGCTGAGAATTAGACCCCCTTCCCTCCCCTCCATCCCCCTTCTGTTCTGAAATTTGATTTGTCCTTTTCATATGTGTTCATTTTTTTTAATTGTATCCTTTGGTATGTATGGTCGTGACAATTTTCTTCCACTGTTTGATCTGAGGAAGTGGGTCTGGCCCAGGAAAGCTCATCACCTAATAAACCATCTTGTTAGTCTTTAAAGTGCTGCACAGCCCTGTATTTTGTTTCAGCTGCACCAGACTAACACGGCTACATTTCTACCACTAGACTGGGGGGGGTTGCTTTCCTTTTGTCTGCCTCAGCCCGTTTTCTAGGACTGTGTGGCTGGCAGGGGGGAGTTAAAAGCGATACTTTATGACCCTCCCAGATTTTCCTCCATTCTCCTTGTCCCCTCTGCACCCCCATTCCCTTTCTCACATCTTTGTGCTCCCTCTCCCCTTCCAACCCGATCCTTATTCCTCTCCCCCGTCCTCCTGCCACCCTTGGGTCTCCTCCTCGGTTTGAGCGCACAGCGGCCTGTCCGCATGATGAGTCCTTCTCATAGCTCAGTGCGCTTCCGGTGACCCCCTCCCGCAGCTGGCCACAGCTGCATCCTCCCTGCTGCGCCCAGGCTGCCGAGCGCAAAGTGCCCAACACGCGCGTCTGCCCGCAGCGAGTGTTTGTAATACTGCCGGAGCCAGGCCGTGCGCTGCGTCTCGTCCCCCCGGCCGGCCATCTCCCGCGGGGGGGCGGCCCTCCTTTTCATCAGCAGGTACAGCAAGAGCAGCCAGGACTCCTGCATTTTCAAATCCAGAGCCCGACCTCCGCAGGAAGTGAACGGGCTGCGCAGTTGCTGGGGTCACCGCGTGGCCAAGGAACACAAAGGCGAGGAAGGAAAAGCCGTCTTGCAAGCGGAGCTCCATCTACTGGTCCTCTTACCCCGCCAGAGACCGGTCCGTAGAACAGCAGAAATGACAGGCACGCTGCTCAGCCTCCTCTGTTAAAACAGAGAACGTCCCCTGCCTGTGTCCCTGGTCGGTTTCCCCGTCGGGTTTTCAGACACTAGCCCTCTCTGCTGCAGTGTTTGAGGGCAAGGCTGTAAGGAAGTTGATTTTCCCCATCTACACACACCAATTTCTCCTGTAGAATAGTGATAGAAATGTAGCCATGTTAGTCTGGTGTAGCTGAAACAAAATACAGGACTATGTGGCACTTTAAAGACTAACAAAATGGTTTATTAGGTGATGAGCTTTCGTGGGCCAGACCCAAAGCTCATCACCTAATAAACTCCTCTCTCTAGTGGACCCAGAATTTGGGAAAGCATGGGTTAGAGTCTTCATGCATCTGACGAAGTAGGTCTGTGCCCACGAAAGCTTATGCTCCTACACTTCAGTTAGTCTCTAAGGTGCCACAGGACTCCTCGTCACTTTTGCAGATTCAGACTAACACGGCTACCCCTCTGATACATGGGTTAGAGTGTGACAGTGGTAAGATCATGCAGCTATATATTAGGAGCTGGGACATCTTGGTGGTTCTACCTCACATGGATTATTTTTAAATGAATAAACTCATTTTTCTGTGATTTATTAATCAGCAAGGCTGAGGCATTGGCTGTTTTTTGGTAGCCAGTAGTAGGCATCCTCACAGATGGGTCTTGAGTAGGGATTTGAATTTGAATAACTGCTAGAGATTGAGTAACAGTCCATTATCAAATATGGAAACCATACTGGCTCCATTTATTGATCAGAGCTCAAAGGTGATTTCCATGCTCAGTGTAATGCTAGCAGGTGTCAGAAACTATTGGCCAGTGCAGCTACTTTGCTGTAAAACCAAGTTGGTGTTCCATATAAATATTTCACCCCTCCTCACCCACATACATTTACCAAGCCCAGTAAGGGGCACAACCAGTCACTGGCTATTTTGATCCAGAAATTCGTCATCTGGGGACTGCGAGGAATACTAGCTGAGCTCTGCCCTGGGCCTTGTGCACTAACGCCTGCTGGGAGAGGCTGATACTTGAGGAGCTGAGAGCTTTCACTAGACACCACTCTTATATCCTTCCGTTTAGCACCTACTGCGGGCAATGTCTGCAAACCAGTGCTGTGAGTTCCCTCATAGCTAGCACTTTTATCCCACTCTTTGGCTTTGTCTAGATTTCAGGCTTCTTTCGGAAGAAGCTTTTCTGGAAGAGATCTTCCGAAAAAACTTCTTCCGAAAGAGACCGTCTACACAGCAAAAGTGCATCGAAAAAGTGATCTGCTTTTTCAAAAGATAGCATCCACACTGAATGGACGCTATCTTGTATTTAAGCTGTCATTACTATGGCCACAGGGCACCTGTGCTTTTTCCTCTTTCCTTTTCTTTCGAAAGAATTCCCTTCCAAAAGAATTCTTTCGGAAAAAAGCCTTCTTCCTCATAGAAGGAGGTTTACCAATGTTGGAAAAGCCCCTCTGTTCTTTCAATTTTTTTTCAAAAGAACGCAATTGCAGTGTGGATGTAACTGGAGTTTTTTTCGGAAAAATGACTGTTTTTCCAAAAATACTCTGCAGGTTAGACATATCCTCAGGCTATGTCTACACTGGTGGCTTCTTGCGCAAGAACATCTTGCGCAAGGGGTCTTGTGCAAGAGGTCTTGCGCAAGAAAACGTCCACACTGCCATGTGCGAGCTGTGCTTTTGCGCAAGAGCGCCCATGTCAGTGTGGACGCCCTC